AGAAATATGCTTTGTCAGTGCTCTACCTTACCTTTTGCTCAGGAGACTGGTCAAAAGCAAACAAGGTGTACCCTTGGACAAACTCTTCACAGCTGATTAGCAGGGAGCGGTCTTTCATAAGTTTTCTGGCCCTCTGCACCCGATGAATGTATTCCCTCGCACAATTACCATTCTCAAAATCTGGCTGTACTGGTTAGGCGGGAGTTTGTTCTCTCTCAATGTCCAGGGCAAGAAAATTAATATTGTAACGTTTAAAGCTGGAGGGGTTCTTAGCATAACTTCCCCCAAAGGTATTACTCCAGATTTTAACTGTGGGTGAGAGTTAGACTCTTGACCAGTGAGACCATTCCAGTCACAACTCAAAAGTTTTATTAGGATAGGCAATAGAAAGACCAATTTGTATCAATAAAGAGAATCCTTGGAGTCAAGGGAGGAACAGGCCTGCTGCCCAGGCTCCTCTGTTCTCTTAGGGACTCTCGCTGGATCTTTGCTGATCTTCAGAGAAGTTCAATCTTCCTCCAGTATATCCCCAATATTTATAGATGGCTCATTTTAATATGCTAATAACTGGCCTCTAATTAGTTTTATTTACGTTTCTTTCTTTCACTGAAACTTGTGGAACTGGATTGAACCAGATTGTTTGTAGACCTGGAAGGTGTCAATTCATTGGTATTCATCTCCTTGGAGAAGTAAAGGGAGGGTGTAGTAGGGCACTGTTTTCGGGCCCTGTTGTGGTCCGTGCTGGTCCATCAGACCAGAGCCCACAGGGAACTCACCTCTGGGCCCATGGGTTGTGATGCAGCTGCTGGAGATGCACGGCCAGCCTCCCAAAGACAGGCTGCATCTGAAACTGTTGGCCTGGGCAGTGTGCTGCCACGTGCAGCTGGAGTGGGTTCCTATTGGCTGCCAGGGTTCCACCAGAAGCCAAGAGAGGCTACCACAGGGGCAGGCAAAATACAGCCTGTGAGCCAAATCTGGCCCGCCAGGCCATTCTATGTGGCCTGTGGGGCCCCTAAAAAATTAGGAAGTTAATATTTATCTGCTCCTGGCTGCCTGTCAAAGATGACAGAGCCAGGGGGAGTAGGACTCAGAGGAAGCCAGCAACAGGACTGAGCAGCTCAGCCCCGCTCCACCCGCACCCATTTCCCTGCTTTCCTGCCAGCACACTGCTCTAGCAAGATGTGGCTCCTGGTTGCATTGCTGGACCACAGGAGCACGGGGTCCGCTCCGGTATCCCGGGGCCAGGAGTGTGTGTGTGTGTTCATAGGGTGAATCCCACATGCACACCCCACCTCACACTGCCATACACACAGACCCCCACACCCCTCACACACCCCAGCCACCCTCCCCCTACATACATCCCTCCACAAACCCCATACCCACCCACACCCCACATATCCACATACACAGCCACATACTCCTTCACCCCACACCCCCCACACCTTTCCACCCCCACAGACACACTCACACCCTCCCCCACATCCCACATCCCCACACACCCACAGCTCCCAATCCTATGCCCACCCCCCATACCCCTACCCCCACACAATATACAAGAGTAAGACTTCATTTTAAGCTATTGTGCAATCACCTCTATGTACACTATACAAACACATGTAAATCAGGATAAAATATTTTTTTGAAATCAAATTAATGAATGTTGTAGATGTTTGATTTTTAGAATATAATTTCGTATTTTTCTGGTTCCGAGATGGCAAAACCCCTTGCTGAAAGGAGTACTTCCAGGGGCAAGGAGAGGGACTTCTTGGTGGCAAAAGTCAGGGATTAGGGGGTGGGACTTCCAGTCACAACATGGCAACCAGGGGGTGGGGCACCTGTCAAGGGGCGGGGCTACCCATGCAGCCCTCAACAGCTTGCCAAAACTCAGTAAGTGGCCCTCCACCCAAAATAATTGCCCACCCCTGGGCTACCAGCACAAGTGGAGATTCCCCAAAGAGGAGAAAGCACGGGATCCCTGGAGCTCATGAAAACTGCATGGAGATGCAGGGATGGTGCTGGGAGCCAGAGCTGGAACCACAGCCAGAGCCAGAGGCTGGAGCCAGGACTAGAAGCAGAAGCCAGAAATGGAAATGGGAGCTGGGGACAAAGGTGGGTGGTGAAAGGATAACCCCCTCCACTGGAAGGCTTGCACTGACAGCCATTGCAGAGAGGGAGATAACAAAGCGGGTAAATTGACAACTGAAGGGCCCAGCAATGGTGGTAAAATAAACTGGATTATTTATTTGGGAAGGCAGCAAGGGAGTGACTTGCAAACTGACCCATCCTATGACTTAGTGAGGGGGATGGACCAGTGTCTCAAGAGCATATTATTTGGTGGAATACATAAGGATTCAGTGATAACAGAATTGGTAATTAATGAAATATAAGGAAAAACTAATTGAGCAATGAAAGGTGTTCTTTGATAAAATATAAATAGAGTGATGATGAACTCGGTCATTAATTAAGTATGAGGAAAGATTAATTGAGTGATGGTAACTCCTTGGTTGGGGAAGCATAAATAAGGACCACCTTGGGTGGTAAACAGGTGGCAAGAGACTCACTAACATGTAAACTATAAAACAACTCATTAGCTGGATGAGCCGGTAAGAGGGGGATTGTTACGTAGCTAATCCCACAGATGAGTGACCAGAGCAACTGAGCTGTAGCACTATCCTGGCTATTTAATGTGAAGATGAGATATCCAGAAAGATCACAGGCCTGAGCCAGTTCGGTGTGGTGAGGGCAGGGTGTACGGGAAGTGGGGCCCTGCGCAGAAAGAGTTTGCCCTCAAATCCTACCACTGATTGTGATGAACACCTCACTTCCCTTCTTTTCTCTTTTTTTCCTTTGAATACCAAGGCACGATGGGTGAGTAAGAAGGAAAATTCCAAAGTGGAGGAGTAAGTGAGCAAGAGAACAAGTGAGACATCTCCAGGATATGCATTGTCACAATGGTGCATTGTCCAGAAACTTGGAACAAGGCCGATATTACAGAAAACAGACACTTGTCAAGATGGCTATGAACCCACAGACAGTGCCAGGAAGGGCACCCCAGGACTGGCAGCAGGATCATGGGTTAATATTACAACTGTTTCAAGGGCAATGGGTAAAAATGAAAGAATTGGTATGGGTGCGCTCACGAGAGGCCAACGTCCACATTACATTATTGAGCCAGCAACAGGAGCTGAGTGAGAAAATCGAAGTAAACAGTGGTGATCTGAGCCACAGAAGGACTGAGGGTACCAAAAATGACAGCAGAAGATGACACTGAAACCTATTTCAAGGCCTTTGTGCTGCATTGGCTGCAGGTTGGGACCAAGGGCAGTGATCTAGGTCCCCTGCCAATTGGTCCAGCCCAAGCAACCTATAGAGCCCTGTCTAAGACCCAGATGAATGACTATCAGGAGGTAAAAAAGTGATACTCTACCAGTTTGAGATTGCCCCCAAGTACTACCAACAACAGTTTCTGGCAAAAAAGAGATGAGAGACAAGCAGCTGAGGGTGCTGGCATAGATGCTGAGAGATTTGATTGAGAAATGGATTCAACCTAAAGGGAAGACAGTACCTAATGTATTGGACCTAAACACTCTGGAGCAGTTCCTCAAGGACCTGGAGGATGATACTCAATGATAGGTGTGGAGGCACCAACCTCAGATGATGGGAGAAGCCCTCCAACTTGCTGAGGCCTTTATGGCAGCCAAAAGGGGGACCTGTCGAGAGAAGCTGATGAAACCTGTGATAATCAGCAACCTGCAACAGGAACCAGTGACCAAAAAAATGGAAGCTCCCTGGAGCCAGTTCTGACTTTCTTGGGGTTCAGGGACCCAAGAGATGGTCTGCTATCGGTGCGGAGTTGCAGGGCACATAGCTCATAACTGCCAGTGGAAGGTGTGGGAATGATGTCCCTGGGAGGAAATCAGCGGGTAGAGTGGCCTGGCATCCACAAACAGGTGGAACACTTCTGCCATGCATGCCCCAAGTGTCAGCTGGATTCAGATGTTACTCCCCCTAAGGCCCCACTAACGCCCCAGCCAGTCAGCCAGAAACCCTTGGACAGGGTGGCCCTAGATATTGCTGGACTGTTCCCAAAGAGTGCTGCAGGCTATCGGTTTGTATTGGTTATCATGGATTATGCCACCAAATACCCCGATGCAGTTCCAATGAAGTCATTTACTGCACCTAGAGTAGCAGAGTTGCTGATCAAATGGCTATCCTATGTGGTCAGGAAATTCTGACTGATCAGGGGACTAATTTAATGTCCAATGTGCTGAAAGGCACCTGTGAAACTGTAAAGATCAAGCAAATGGGGACCTCGTTATATCATACCAAAACAGATGGTTTTGTGGAACAGTTTAATCACACTTTAAAGAATATGATTAAGACTTATATCCAAGAGGATGCGAGGAAGTGGAAGTTGTGCATACCACTCTTGTTATTTTCAATCTGAGAGGTCCTGCAGGCCTCCATGGACTGCTCCCCATTAAAACTGGTGTATGGTCATCACCCTAGGGGACTATTGGATCTTGTCTGTGAAGGCTGGCAAGAGCTAGAGATGGTAAGCATGTGCCAAGGTTTGGAATTAAGAGAATGTTTAGAATGGGTATGGCAAATAGCTCAGGATAACTTAGAAAGAAGCCAAGAATGGCAGAAGGACTATCATGATAGGAGGTTGAAAGAGAGAGAGTTTCAGGTGGGAGACCAAGATTGAGTGCTTTTACCTGATACAATGAGCAAGATCTCTCAACATGTTAAAGGCCTTTGTAACAGGGGACCATCCCTGGCCCCTGTTCCAAAGAGAAGACACCAATGATAGGGGAACAAACTTACCCAGACACAGCCAGCCAGCTGTCCCCACTGAGAGCAGTGGACTGTGCAGGGGAAAGGAGTCAACTCCCGGGCACACGTTGCATGTAGCATGCTCCAGGAGCTGGTGCTGATTGGCTTAGGAACTAGACGACAGGTAGAAAAAACAGTCAGTTCACTTCCTCCAGGGACGGGGAGTGTGCAGGCAGGCTTAGACTGCAGCTCAGAACAGGACTGAATACAAGAGAAGCTGGAAGGAGAGTCTGCATGGTGAGTGCTGGTGGTGGGCCAGCTATGGGAGGCTACACTAGGAGCCAAGGCTGGGATTGGGGAAGCTGGAGTCTGATCTGGAGCCCACCTGGAATGGGGGATTGCCCAAAGTGAAGATCTGATCATCTGTTAAGGGATTGGAACGGGGAGGAAATAAATAAGAGTCTATCGGGTAAGAGGCATCTGTGCATCTGACTGCCTGCAGTTAAGGATTGTTGCCTGAAGGAAAGACCCAGTCTTTGTGGTTTTCAGAACTGTCTGCACCCCTAACTGAACAGACAAAAGGAAAGAAGTGGGGATCGGTCCACTGGTCACCCATTGCTTGTTTGGTGGAATAAGTAAGGATCGAGTAATGACGGACTCAATAATTAATGAAGCATAAGGAAGAGTTAATTGAGCAATGAAACGTATTATTTGATAAAATATAAATAAGGATCAAGTGATGATGAAGTATAAAGAAAGATTAATCAAGTCATGGTAAGTCATAGGTTGAGCATGTACTGTAGACAGTGATAAGGTACAATAGACAATCAGGACTCGTAGTAGAGATATGATATCTCTACTACGATTTCACCTGGATACAATCTGGATACTGTGCGGGCCGGGAGCGACCCGAGCCCTTTTCGCGCTGCACGCGGGCTGTGGCCAGCAGCCCGGGCACGCTGGGGCGGAGAGGGAAGGCCTTCGAGCTGGAATTAGGCACGGACGCGTAGCGGTAGTTTAAAAGATTGTTTCCTTGCACCAAGATGGCAGTGGTGTAGGCTGGAAAACTTGCTTAAGTTGCAGTTACAGACAGGAAAGGAAGAGAGGCGGACAAGAGTTCTAGACTCGTGAACTCTAGCCCAATCCGGCTGAAGGCTCTGAACACGCGAACCCGTCGTGTCAGCCGAAGAAAGTACTCGTCCGGAAGAGCTCTGAATAAACTCACACGAAGTTTGCTAGGCTCCGTGGGTCCGGCTCCTTTTGCGCGCAGGAAGGGATACGTCTAGGAATCTATCGGCGACGGGGAGAGGCTAGAGGTTGATCAGACCTCTGTTGCCTGCTTTAAATGCACTGGGTCCGTAAGGATCCGCAGCGCTTAGAGATCTTCACACAGCGTGAAGTCTCCTCCTCCCTTGTTCGTGGAGTCCTCCAACTTGGGCGGAAACCACCCAAGCCTCTTATACGGCTAGCAAGCCAATCACTAGCCGCCACGTGTGAATAATTTAGAACTGGCCAATAATGGGACCCGAATTAGCATACAAATGGCGGGAACTCTTTGCAACGAGCATTTCTGTGCTGCAACAAAGAAATGCACCCTGCAAAGAAAGCTTCAAATTGGCGGGAAATTCTCCCTTGCACCGGGGTTCTCTTTTGCAGCAGAAAACTCCACCGTGCAAAGAAGCTGCAATTTAGCGGGGACAATTTAGCAGTGCCGAAGCACACACAAACAAAAATCACACCCTTTGGGTTGTGACAGATACAAGGTACAATAGAGTAATACAAGGAAATGGAAAAGGATTGGCGTCACTCCAAAGCATAACCAAATATGGAAAACGCTGTTAGGTATGTAATTGTGATTAAACCATGCGGCTTCAGACTTCTCCAAAACTCAGCAAAAAAGACTAACCAAATCAGTGAAGGTCTCCAAGGGAACAGAGATCCCTGGTCAGTGGACCTCTGAAATCCCAAATATGTAAGTAGTGTCTTTATTAATGCAAATAAGTCTTTGCTGTTGTGTATCTTGATAAAGTTTTTGAGTTGTGACTGAAATAGTTTCGCTGGTCACCAGTCTCACTCTCAACCCCAGTTAAAAATTAGGGTAACAAATTAGCATCCCAGGGTGGGCATGAGAATGAAATGATCAGTGTGAAAAGCTTTAAGGTAACTGCGGAAAAGGGTTGCAAGCTGTTTCGTGGTGTAGGGTGCTCAGACCAAATTAGGCTGAGGGCAGCCTAGGGAGTATTACCCCTTGGGTTAATGAGCTTGATGGCAGTCAATACCACCAGAAGATAAGAGAGTTAGAAGCTAAATTGGAGTGCCACAGGGAATTGTGGCAGCGATGCAGGGAAGATGTATGGGGGGTCAAGCCTAGTAAAAAGGAATTAGAAGACTGTGATGATGATAACCCAGCTCTATATCCTCCCTAGTACAATGATGGAGATGAATGTTGGGATGGGACTCCCCATTTCCTAGTTATTAGGGTCAGAAGGGACCTATTAGATCATCAAGTCTGACACCCTGCCCTGAGCAGGAAAGAGCGCTGGGGTCAGGTGACCCCAGCCAGGTGTCTGTCCAATCTCCCTTTTTATATTTCCAAGGAAGAGGACAACACCACCTCCCTTGGAAACCTGTTGCATATTTTGGTGACCCTCACTGTAAAGAACTTTTTCCTGATGTCCAGCCTGAATTTGCTCTCTTTTAACTTGTGTCCATTGTTTCTAGTTACCCCAACTATCACCCTGGTAAACATAGTATCCCCGACTTCCTGCTGAGCCCCCAGATGAGTTTGCACAAGGTCATAAGATCACCTCTCAACCTCCACTTGTGGAGGCTAAAGAGGTTCAGGTCTCCCAATTGGTTCACATAGGGTGTTTTCTGTAGGCCTTTAACCAGACAGGTGGCCCTCCTCTGAACCCTTTCCAGGTTATCCACATCTCTCCTGTAGTGCAGCAACCAAAACTGGATGCAGTACTCCAGCTGCAGCCTGACCAATGCCGCATAGAGGGGAAGTATCACCTCCCTGGACCTTTCTGTGATGCACCTGCTTATGCAACATAGAGTGAGGTTAGCTTTACTTATTACCTCATCACTTTGGCGACTCATGTTCATTTTGGAGTCAATTATGACTCCAAGGTCGCTTTCCGCAGTTGTGCTGCTTAGAGTGGTGCCTTCCAGGCTGTAGGAGTGCTGATGATTCTTCCTCCCCAGGTGCGGCACATGAAACTTGTCCTTGTTAAACAGCATCCTATTCTGTTCCGCCCACCTCCCCAGCCTGTCCAAATCCACTTGGATTTGCTCCCTGCCCTCTAGTGTGTCTAGCTCCCCCCATAGTTTGGTGTCGTCAGCAAACTTGGGCAGGGTGCTTACTGCTCCCTCATCCATGAAAATATTGAATGAAATAGTGAAAATATTGAATAGTACCGGTCCCAGGACAGAGCCTTGGGGGACTTTGCTGCCTACATTTCCCCAGGCAGAAACCGACCTGTCTACCACCACTCTCTAGGTGCATCCCATAAGCCAATTTTCCACCCACCGGACTGTGTAATAATCTACACTGCAGTTTTTTTAGTTTATTTATAAGAAGTGGGTGTGACACTGTGTCAAAGGCCTTTTTAAAGTCTAGGTCAACAACATCTACCTCTGTTCCCTCATCCAAGCATTTTGTGACCCAGACATAAAATGTAACTAGGTCAGTCAGGCAGGATCTGCTTGCTATGAACCCATACTGATTGCCTCTTAGCATTATTTTACCCACTGGTCCCCTGCAAATGTGATCTTTAACAATTTTGTCAAAGGTCTTGCCAAGAATAGAGGTGAGACTAACCAGCCTATAGTTACCTGGTTCCTCCTTTTTCCCCTTCTTGAAAATAGGGACCACACTGGCCCTTTTCCAGTCCTCTGGGACTTGTCCTGAACGCCACGAGTGCTCGAACAGTTGCGCCAGTGGGTCCGCTATGACTCCAGCTAATTCCCTAAGTACCCTAGGGTGAAGTTCATCAGGGCCTGGTGACTTAAATACATTCAGCCCCTCCGGATGCCCCCTTACTAGGTCTGCATGAACCGCTGGTGAGTTGGTATCTATCCTGGGCTTGTCTAAAGTCCTAGTTTCATAGTTGGTCAGGTCGGAAGGGACCTGAGCAGATCATCAAGTCCGACCCCCTGCCATGGCAGGAAAGAGTACTGGGGTCAAACGTCCCCAGTGAGGTATTCATCCAACCTCCTCTTAAAGACCCCCAGCACCACTTCTCTTGGAAGTTGGTTCCAGATCCTAGCTGCCCTGACAGTGAAGTAGCGCCTCCTGATGTCTAGCCTGAATCTACCCTCTGCCAGCTTGTAACAGTTATTTCTTGTCACCCCTGGAAGTGCTCGGGGGAACAGGGACTCCCGCAATGCCTGCTGGTCCCTCCTGACTAGTTTGTAAACGGCCACTAGATCCCCCCTCAGCCTTTTCTTGTGGAGGTTGAACTGGTTCAGGTCCCTCAACCTCTCCTCATAGGGCCTGCCCTGCTAACTCCTGATCATGCGGGTGGCCCTCCTCTGGACCCTCCCCATGTTGCCCACATCCCTCTTGAAGTGCGGCGCCCAGAACTGGACGCAGTACTCCAACTGAGGCCTGACCAGCGTTGCATAGAGGGGGAGGATCACCTCCTTGGACCTGCTTGAGATATATCTGTGGATGCATGCTCCCCATCGAGGCCCGGGAACCTCGCCCATGCCCACACTCATTTTCCAAGCTGGCAAAGCCCTCAGCCAGGTGGAGGGCTTCCTCACTGGTCTGGGGTTGGTGTTTCCATACCCACACCTGGGTGTCTTCCTCCAAGTCCCAGAGGAATTACTCCAAGAAGACCTGGTCGTTGACCCCCTCCCGGTTGAACCAGCCTGTTGGTAGCCATTTATTAAGTGTATCCTGCAGGTATTGCAACAAACTGCGAGGCCGCCAGACCTCTTTTGGCTTTCAGGCTCAAAACGCCTGTCTGTAGCTCTCTGGGAAAATCTTGAGTCTGTATAGGATCGCAGTCTTAATGGTATCATAATCTCGGGTGTCCTCCCTTGACAGGGCCTGACAAGTGGCTTGGGCCTGGTCAATCACCAGGGCGCCCAACTGGTGAGCCCGCTGCCTGCAATCCAAGCCTATCTGAAGGGCGGTCCTCTCAAATGCCTCTATATAGGCCTCAGGATCGTCTTCCAACGTCATTCGTGGCATCTTAAACAGGGCGGCATTACACTGCATCCACTCCTGCTGGTGTGCCTAACACTGTATCTCTAACACTTGCCCTATGGCTTGGATGGCAAGCATTAGTAGCTCTGCATGGGCTATCTCCAGTGGCTGCATGTCTGCTTGGCCCGGGTCGTGATTTCTATCCTATTAATGCCGACATTCAAAAGGGTTCCCAGTCAATGCACCACTGTGGAAGCACCTAAGGTAGGGTACGATGAGTGCCATACCATCCGTCCTGAGCAGGGCCCCTCTCCCCTCAACTCTTCTGCCATGACTTGGTGTTATTGAATAAAAGGAGGGGTTCAGTGGTGATCCTCTTCCTGGGGACCACGGGGAAGGTGGTACTCACAGTCTTGACGTGATGTTCCGTGGGGCTCTGCCTCCCCTACACCCCGTCCACTTGCCAACCGGCAGTGCAGCCTGTGTTGTTCTGCTGTGCCCTATAGACCTCTTTCCCCAGGGGACCAGCATCGGTGCAGGTACTGGTGCACTAGCTCGGCTGTCACGGGAGCTAGGGCTTTTGCCTGAGGTGCTGATGAGTGAGGCTCTCGCTTGCTGGCATCTTCCTCGCCGCCTCTGGGTAGAACATCTGTAACGATCTTCAGTAATGTAGGCAGCTGGATAAAAGGGGGAGGGGTGGACTGGCTCCTCCCTCCCTGCCTTGCCCAGGGACTCCACTCTCCCTGCTCTAGATGCTGGCACTGAGCTGGCTGCAACCCTCCTGTTTGTCATGGGAGCCTCACCACACAGGTGTGCTCCCTCTCTCCTCCCCTGCCAGGTTCCGGTGGGGCTTTTTAATTCTCCCACGGCAGCTGCTCCTGCCACCATGATTGGCTCAGCTTTTCCCCACCCCAGGAACAGCTGATTAACCAGCCGGTGTAATGCCGGCTCGTGCAGCCGTGGCCGCGGCTCCTGCTCTGGCTGTGCTCCCGGAGGTAAGTTTCCCTGGGGGTGGGTGGTCTGCTTGTTTGGCTTGGGGCCTGCAGGGTCTGCCCCATCCCCTTCAAGAGCCTGTGGGGGCTTCCTGCTGCCACACCCTCCCTAACTAATTTTTCTGAGTTTACCAAAGTTGGCCTTCCTGAAGTCCAGCATTTCTGCCCTACTAGTTATCTTCCTCACCTTTCGCCAGATAGTGAACTCTATCAATAGGTGGTCACTATCCCCTAGGTTACCTTGTAGCTGCATATCCCCCACCAAGTCATCTTCTGTGGCCAGTACCAAGTCTATCAAGGCATTACCCCTGGTGGGGACATGTACCCCCTGTGATAGGTGAAGGTCCTGCAAGGAGGTTAAAAACTTATGTGAACAGGCAGACCTGGATGCCTGCTTCTCCCAGCAGATGTCTGGGAAGTTTAAGTCCCCCATGACATCCAGGTCCTTTGAGCGCACCGCCTCTGGGAGCTGCCTCAAGAATTCTAGGTCTAACTTGTCCCCCTGGTGTGGAGGTCTGTAATAGACCCCTACTACTAGGTCTCTTTCCATTGGCCATCCCCGTATGCCCCCTTGAAGAAGGAGCTGCAAGGTTTAAAGAACAACTGCTAGGGGCCTATGGCTCCTTTTCCTATGGCTGAAAAGGTCTCCATGCATGTAGTGGCACGGAATGGGCAAAGAACTACCCGTAACACTCAGCTCCTATCTGGACAGGAGGCAGTTGCCATTGATAAAAATCTGGGACCCATAAATGGGAATAATATATGGGATTGGTTATATTCCCTACATCAGATATGCAACAGTGGAAGATGAGTAAAAAATTGTAACAGTGGTGTAACAAAACCAGGGCTCCAGGGGCAGCCATGATGCCTCCTGGGGGCTGCATGGATCCTGTCCTGCTCTGGCTCCGAGGTTATTCTCCCTCTTCCTTTGCCTACTACATCTTTTGTGGAATAACTGGAATGTGAAAAAGGAGGCTGCCCCAGGGCGTCCAAGTGATTCTTAGTCTGTGTTTGGCCAGACAGTCCTTCCTGGATCCCCTGCATGCCATCCTGTCCCTCATGCCAAGTGGGCCCTCCTGGCCTATCCATGCCCAAGGGCACCGGCTGCCTTATGGGCTATTGAAGGCCTCCAACCTCCCCCACAGGCTCACCCATACCTTGCAGATGTAATCAGTAATCCCTTAGCTGGGGCACTTTGCCCCCTAGCCAGTATCAGGCCACGTCAGGTTTCTATGCCTTTATTGGGGCTTCTGTATTACAGGCCTCCACCCTTTATCTCTTGTTGGTCCCCTTAGCCTAGTCCCATTGTACTGGACCTGGCTTCTGAGCTCCAGCCTATTTCTCATCCTTCTTGACTTTGGGCCTCTGGCCTTGGCCCTTTGAAGTGAGGCTGTCACAGTGCCTGTGACACTTCATCATGGTCAAGTGCTGGATACCATCCCAGAGGCTCCTGGACACAGTGAGCCTGTAGGTGACCTCCCCTGGCCCTGGGGAACAACTGGAGATCTCTTCTCTGCGAAGTGATAGGGCTGTAATGCAGACACCCGCAGAGCTCGGAGAGTCCTTTCAGGGGAGGGTGTTCTGCCCAGGGAGGCTGAGCCTGATGTAGGGGAGGACTGATGCAAAGGTGGGGGTGAGAAGGGGCAGGGCCCTTCCCACAGTCTCCAGACCCCTTGCTACAGCTCTCCCTCCACAAGCAGGGCTGACTGGGCTGGCTCCACAGTGGGAGGCATCCCTAGTTGTGAGCTGCACCATGGAGCAAGTTCCCACCCAGGAAAGCCAAATGGGGGCTTGATGGGGTTTGCTGCACCCCCCTGGCCATGAATCTGAGTCCTCACCAGGGGGGTGGCTGGGATAATCGCTGCCCTGATCAGCTGGAGCTGGGAACACTGAGGCTGCCCTTCCTGCAGTTCAGTCCCAAGCTCAACTCCCCTTCCTCCTGCTACAAGCCAGCCAACCCTAATGAGAAATTCTCCTGTCCTCCTCCAAGGCCCGTCAGCAACGCACAGGAGCTACCATAGCTGGTGCCAGTGAGGATTTAGATCCTGAAGCCATTTCCCATGTACCCCAAGAGAAGCTGAAGAAACTAAAGGCTGCATTAGAAAAAGGAGACCTCACTGCAGCAGCAAAAAATGCCCAAGAGATGCTAGATGATGCAGAAAAAATTAGTCTCCATATTGCCATCACAGGGGTCACAGGCTCTGGCAAATCATCCTTTCTCAATGCCATGCGTGGCCTGGATGATGGAGATGAGGGTGCAGCTGACATAGGAGTGTTGGAAACAACATCTAAGCCTGCTCCTTTCCCACACCCCCAGGACCCCAACATCACCTTCTGGGACCTGCCAGGGATTGGGACGCCAGCATTTCCAGAGGACACCTACCTCCAACAAGTAGAGTTTGGCCGCTACGATTTCTTCATCATCATCTCTTCCACGCGGTTCACAGACAAGGACATCAAACTGGCCCTTGAGATCCAGAGCCTGGGGAAGTCCTTTTACTTTGTGCGCTCCAAGGTGGATCAGGATTTGGACAACGAGCGAAGACTGTACAATGAGTCAGGATTCCTGAAGAAACCTTCTGCTTCACGCTGACTTCACTACAGCGAGGCCGCAATCCTGGATAGCATCCGAGAAAACAGCATCTGCAACCTGAGGACGGGAGGGGTGGAGTCCCCACGGGTTTTCCTTGTCTCGAGGTGGCACTTTGACAAGTACGATTCTCCCCAGCTGCAGGACACTCTTGTGGACGAGCTCCCCAGTCACAAGCGTCTCACTTTTCTCCGCTCCCTGCCCAACATCTCTAAAGAGACTTTGAAGAAGAAAAAGAAACGCTTGATGACACAGATATGGCTCAAAAGCTTAGCTTCATTAGGAGCTTCTGCTGTTCCTGTGCCAGGCCTTTCTACTGTTTGCGATGTAGCTATTCTGGTGACGTCCCTGAAACAGTACTGCCAGGACTTTGGCCTGGACAAAGAGTCCCTTGCCAAGCTTGCTAGGCACACGAACAAGTCCTTCAAAGAGCTGAGAGCTGTGATAAAATCTCCCCTGGCCGATGAAATCACAAAAGATCTCGTCATTAAGCTCCTGTTGAAGACGGTAGGTGGGGCAGTGCAATACCCTCTGTTGTTCCTGAAGGCCATCCCCGTGGCGGGCACTGTGATTGGTTCAGCGGTGTCAGCTGCCATTTCTTTTCCTACCACGTACTTCATGTTGCGGGGGTTCCTGGAGGATGTTGCTGATGATGCCATACACGTGCTGGAAAAAGCTTTGGAGAGGGAATCATCTAAATCAGATGAGCCCCAGCAATAAGTCAGCACTGGCTCTGCGAGAGGGATGCACGAAGTGGGAACCCATTGGTGCTGTCTTCCTTGTTGCCCTGTTCCTGGGAAAGCAGCCTAAAGCTAGCCACATGCTTAGGAAATGCCCAGAAAACACCTTCCCTACAAGCCTGCAACTCCCCGGGCACCTTGAGCCCAGTGCCCACGTTCTGTCTTCTCATAGACAATGATGGTTGGAAGGGAGCTCAGGAGGTCACATCTAGTCCAACCCCTGCTCCAAGCAGGACCAGCCCCACCTACATCATCCCAGCCAGGGCTTTGTCCAGCCGCATCTTAAAAACTTCCAAGGATGGAGATGCCACAACCTCACTAGGTAACCCATTCCAGTGCTTTACCACCCTCCTTGTGAGAGAGTTTTCCCTAATATTCAACTTAAACCTTCCTTGTTTTTTTTTTTTCTCTCCAAATTATCATTCCATTTCCTATCATCATTGGACATAATCATAATCTAAAGCCCCGCAGTGCTGGTCCGACAGTGCAATGTGAGATGCATACCAGATACTTCTTCAAGCATATTATTTTCGCTGGTTTTGGCATAGCAGATACCTTCAGAAAAGGGGACAATCTTCATCTACATAATATATATAACTCAACTGAGTAAAACTTGATGAAAAAATGCTGTATTATGCTTCCCATAGCATCAAGCCTAATATAATAACATTGGTTAATGACTCAGTATTAGGTAAAGTGAGTCTCATTGGCTACTACAGCAGCCAGCTCTGGGAAGGGGTGTCACAGCTGGATATAACAGAGCCCCCCACCATTGCGGACGGCGTTGGGTAGTGCAGGGAGGCAGGCCAGGACTGTGACCAACCCTTCGTCCATCCATCTTCCAACCTGTGGTCAAGGACATCTGAGATGTAGCTGGCTCTGAGGTGGGCCATGAGAGGGCTGGGTCGACTGGGGTCTCCTCACCCAGGGGCATTGGGAATCCACAGGCTGGGACCCTCTGTCCCAGGTGGCCTATGCCCCCTTGGGTTGCTGGGCATCTAGGCTAGGCTTGGGGGGTGGGTCTGGGCAGCAGCGTAGGGGCTCCACTGGTGCATCTCGTGCCCAGTTCTGCACCCTGTCTGCTGAAGAATGGCCATCTTCCCCACCATTGCAGGCAGAGGATTGGGGGGGAGGTGGGGGGACAGTGTGGGCACAGACCCCCCACCCACTGGTGCCCCTCACTTCTGACCTGCAGCCCCTGCTCTCACAGTCCTACTCGGGCCCTTCACTCCCAGCCCCCATCACCCCACCCCTTCCCTGCCAGGCTCTGAGCCCCTGCCCCGGAGCCCCACCCCCACAGTGCCCCCTGGTGGTGTCCCCAGGCATAAGGGGCAGTTGAGACCAAACCCCCGGATTAGTGGCCAGGCTGGTCCAGGAGCCTGGTCACTAATCCCAGGTGTCCGCACTCCGTACCTGCCTGCTCTCAAACTCAGACCCCCCTTCCTTCCTAAAGAGCTCTGGCATCTGGGTTTCATGCCCCCACCACCGCTTTTACCCCCCACCCCAGGCAGGGAGGGGACCCAGGGGTCAGGGCTACCCTCTCTCTTTCCCCTGCCTCCTTCCCCACTTCTGCTACCTTCAATCAGCAGCACCAGGACCAGGAGACCCCAGAGGGTATTTGGAAGGGGTGGCTGCAAGGCATCACAGGGCCTGAACCCGCCGGGGGTTCCTGGGGCGCAGCTGGAGTCAGCTGCTCAGGTCCTGCTCAGGGGCAGGGGGTCTATATACAGCTCCCGTCTCTGCCCCCTTCCCACACCAGCTGCTACCCCCCACAAACCTGTGCCCCGGTGCCATCCATTGGATCCAAACCAACACATGGATCTGTCTGGAAGTGCTGGACCCCGAGGGAGGGTCATCAGGACAGGAGCCCCGCTTGCCCTGCTGGTGCCCCTCACTCCTGATCTGTAGGCCCTGCCCCCCCAGCCATGATGTATGTGATATCATACATGGGAGCAGGGCGTGGGAGGTGGGAGCAGGCCTCCCACTCCTCTCTCACTCCCTCCCCGTGCTGTGGTTGGGCCAAGACCTTGAGCATAGCCCAGCCCAGAGCTGCCCCAGGAACCTGGGCCAAGGTCCAAGGTCACAGACCTGGGATGAAGCGAGCTCTGGGGTGGGGAGTCAGGGCTGGGTGCATCAGGGCACCTGAGCTGCAGCTGGCTCTGGGGTGGGGGTGCACGGGGGGAAAGAGCCAGGCACAGCTTGGGGAATGGAGCCCAGGAGTCGGGGGCCTTGTCACAATCCTACTTGGCTCCCCCCTTTTCACCCGTGTGTCATTGCAGTGAGGCACCTGCGGCCCCCAGAAGTGGTGAAAGCTGCGAGACCAGGCAGAAGCATCTAGGGTGGGGTCACGATCCTGAGAGAAATGGGCATTGGCAGCTATGGAGCAGGGAGAGAGGGGCATAGCCTCTACATCCACACAACATCAGAAGATGAAGCTAAACGAGTGCTGAGAGGCACAGTCCCCTCCCTGGTCTTGCACCTGATGGGTCATAGACTCAGAGTCCCAGATGTCCCCTAGAGGTCACCTCTGGTCCAGCCCCTTGCAGAGGGGACAGAGCCTAGTCCACACAGTCCCATACAACTGAATTCTCCACCCTACATAAACCTGCCCTTGCCCCGGACACAACACAAGCTGCATACCCTAATAGGTGGAAGGGTGCTGGCCTTTGTGTGGCTGCAGGATGCTGCCTGTCTCCCCATGGGACAAAGCTGTAGCTGCTGATTACTGGGGTGTGCTATAGTAGGGGCATGGCCACAGTGCACCAATGTCCAGTGTAGGGGCTCAGCCCCTCCCAGCATGGCCCTGCCTCTTGCATCCTGCCCAGCCTGGGCAGTCCCTGGGCACAAGGACCCAGCTCCCTGGTGGCATGACTAGGCTGCTCCATCTCACCCCCTGCACCGAGTGTGCCTAGTCTAAGCCCCATTTCAAACCCATGTCTGTGCCCTGAACTGAGCATGTCCGGTCTCAGCCGCATCTCACACCCATGTCTGTGCTGTGCACCAAGCATGCCTGGTCTTAGCTCCATTTCACACCTGTATCTGTGCCTTGCACTGTGTGCGCCTGGTCTCAGCCTCATCTCACACCTATGTCTGTGCCCTGCACTGTGTGTGCCTGGTCTCAGCCTCCCCCTGCCCGCCTGAGGCAGGGAATGACACTGCTCCCTGGTAGCCCTGGCGTAGGGCTCAGGACAGACACTGGGGACCAGTGGCTCATCTATCCATGTTTATTCAGGCCAGCATTGCTGGCCAATCCTACTGTCCAGTTGTAGTGTTGACTTGACACATATCAGCTCAACGCTTGGGATCTCAATATCGTGCTGTTAGGCAGGAGGGCATGACACAACATTATACACACACACAAGCTATACATTCGACACTATGGGCCCACACGCATGCACATACACACAAACACACACTTCGTGGTGGCTGTGTGTTAACACTAGGGGGTACTTGGGGTCACTCAGTGCCTTGGGGTTATTTGGGGGTGAAGGAAAATCCAGGAGAGCAAGGTGGTGAAGGAGCAGAGCCAAGGGATCAAGCTGGGGCAGCAGAGAGAGTTGAGCCAGTCAAAGAAGCTGGGAGGAGCAGCACAGAGGTGAGGAAAAAGCTGAGAGCTGGAAGGTAAAAGTCAGAGGAGGAGGTGGCTGGGAAGTAAGAAGCTGCGAGACAGAGAAGCCGGAGCCTGCAGGGCGCAGAGAGAGAAGCTGGGAGACAGTGAGGGTTGGAGCCGGGTGGCAGAGGGCAGAACTGGGGCTGAAGCAGGTTGGGGTTACTGAGAGCTGGGAGGCAGAGGGCAGAACTGGGGGTGGGGGGTGGAGCTGGGAGACAGCGGGGGTTAAAAGATCAGAGAGCTGGGGGGAAGGAGAGAGAGAGAGAGAGGGAGGGGAGGAAGGTCAGAGGTGCAGAGAGCAGAAATTGGAGCAGGGCCAGGAGATGAGTAAGACAAAACCCAACTCAGGGTTTCAAAATAACAGTTTTATTAGACATAGTTTCATAGTAGCTAGGGTCAGGAGGGACCTGAACAGATCATCTAGCCTGACCCCCTGCCACGGACAGGAATGAATGCTGGGTTCACAAGACCCCAGACAGGTGATCGTCCAACCTCCCCTTGAATTTGCCCAAGGTAGGGGCAAGGACCACTTCCCTGGGAAGTAGGTTCCAGATTTTGGCCACCCTAACTGTAACATATTGCTTTCTGATCTCCAACCTAAACCTGTTCTCCATCAGCTTATGACCATTGTTCCTCGTCACCCCAGGTGGTGCTGGGGAGAAAAGGGCTCTGCCTATTTGCTGTTGATCCTCCTTGATGAGCTTGTAGGCAGTGACTAGGTCCCCCCTCAGCCTCCTTTTGCTGAGGCTGAACAGGTTCAGGTCCCTCAGTCTCTCTTCGTAGGGCCTGTCTTGCTGCCCTCTCACCAAGCGGGTGGCCCTCCTCTGAACCCTCTCCAGGCTGGCCACATCCCTTTTGAAGTGCGGCGCCCAGTACTGGATGCAGTACTCCAACTGCGGCCTGACCAAAGTCGCATAGAGGGGGAGTATCACCTCTCTGGACCGGCTTGAGATGCATCTTTGGATGCATGACAAGGTATGGCTGGCCTTGCTGGCTGCGGTCTGGCATTGGCGGCTCATGTTCATCGTGGAGTCAATAATGACTCCGAGATCCCTTTCTGCCTCTGTGCTTTCAAGAGGGGAACTCCCCTCCCTGTATGCGTGCTGTGGATTCCTTCTCCCCAGGTGAAGCACCCTGCATTTGTCTGCGTCAAACCCCATCCTATTCCCGTCTGCCCACTTTTGTAGTCTGTCTAAATCTAGTTTTAGCCTCTCTCTCCCTTCAAGTGTGTCCAACTCGCCCCACATCTTAGTGTCATCAGCAAACTTAGACAGCGTGCTTTCCACCCCCTCGTCCAAGTCGCTGATGAAGATGTTAAACAGTGCGGGCCTGAGGACCGAGCCCTGGGGGACCCCACTGCTCACATCTCGCCAGGTTGAGTACGACCCATCCACCACTACTCTCTGGGTGCGCCCCATCAGCCAATTTTTTACCCATCCAACTGTGCAGGCATTAATGCCACAGTCGCTTACTTTATTGATGAGAATGGGGTGAGAGACAGTGTCAAAGGCCTTCTTAAAGTCTAGAAAGACTACGTCCACAGTGACACCATCATCCAAGGATTTAGTTACTTGGTCATAAAAGGCAATCAGGTTGGTCAGGCAGGACCTGCCCTTGATGAACCCATGCTGATTGCCCCTGGGCATGATCTCCCCTGCAG